GAGTCTAGAAAAATTGTAAGTTGTCAAAAATGAAATGGAGCACATAAAGATTAATATCCCAGTGTGGCACTGTAGGATAAGTACAGGATTGCAAACCACAAGGTCGGCAGTTCAAACCCGCCAGCTGATCCTCGGAAACCCTATACGGGGTCTCTATGAGTTGGAACAACTCAATAGCACTTAACAACAATAGCTGAATGTTATAGGCACTGATTGCTGAGCCACTGAAAACCTTATGAATAACAAGGCACTCAAAATACAACTGGGAAAGAGCTGCCTCCTCAAAGTAGAGTGGACTGTGATGACGCCAATAGTGTAAAGCTTTCGGGACCTTCATATGCTGATGGGGCACAACTCAAAATGAGAAGAAACATCTGTAAACATCCATTAAAAATCAGAAGATGGACTATCCAAAGCATGAATCTAGGGAAACTGGAAGTTGTCAAAAATGAAATAGAACTCATAAACTTATTCTAGGCATTAGTGAGCTGACGTGGATTGGTATTGACCATTTTGAATCTGACAATCATTGTTATTAGGCCAGGAATAATGACAAATTGAAGAGAAATGGCACCACATTCATCATCAAAAAGAACATTTCAAGATCTATCTTGAAATAAAATGCTGTCTGTGATGTTGTTGTTGTTAAGTGCCATTGAGTTGGTTCAGAACCATAGCGATCCTGTATAGGGTTTGCAAGGAACAGCTGGTGAGCTTGAACCACTGACTTTGCAGGTCAAATGACTTTACAGTCTGGTGCATTAACCCACAGCGCCACACCAGGACTAGGCGTATCCATATGCCTACAAGGAAGACCAGTTTAACCCACTATTATTCAAATTTACACACCAACCACTAAAGCCAGTTATGATGAAATTGAAGAAGTCTACCAACTTCTTCGGAGTCCTGGTGTGGTGCTGTGGGTTAACAGGCTTAACAACAACAACAACACTTAACAACAACCAACTTCTTCAGTCTGAAATTGATCAAACATACACTTAAGATGTATTGATAGTTACTGAAGATTGTAATGCAAAGATGGGAAATGAAAGAGGAAGATCAGTGGTTGAAAAATATGGCTTTGGTAGTAGAACTGATGCTAGAGATTGCATGATAGAATTTTGCAAGACCAATGACTTGTTCACTGCAAATACCTTTTTTAAACAACATAAAAGATGACTATCTATATGAACCTCACCAGATAGAATACACAGACATCAAATTGACTACATATGTGGAAACAGGCGGTGGAAAAGCTCCATATCATCAGTCAAAACAAGGCCAGGGGCGGACTGTGGAACTGACCATCAATTGCTCCTATACAAGTTCAGGCTGAAGCTGAAAAAAAATCAAAACAAGTCCATAAGACCCAAAATGTGATCTCGAATGTATGCCATCTGAATTTAGAGATCATCTCAATACAGATTTGATGCATTTAGACACCAAAGACTGAAGAACAGAAGAGTTGTGGGATGACATCAAGAACATCATATAGGAAGAAAGCAAAATGTCATTAAGAGGACAATAAAGAAGGAAAAAAACAAAATGAGTGTCAGAAGAGACTCTGAAACTTGCTCTTCAGCATAGAGATGCTGAAATAAATGGAAGACATGAGGACGTAAAAGAGCTGAACAGAAAGTTTCAAAAGGTTGCTTGAGAAGACAAAGTCAAGCATTGTAATGAACTGTGGAAAGACCTGGATTTAGAAACACAAAAGGGAAGAACATGCTCAGCATTTCTCAAGCTGAGGGAACTGATTAAAAAAAACTCAAGCCTTGTTTGCAGTATTGAAGGATTCTATGGCCAAAATGGAGTCCTGGTGTGGCACTGTGGGTTAATGCACTGGCCTGCAAGGCCAGCTTAAACCACAAGTTGGTGGTTCAAACTCACCAGCTGCTCCTTAGAAACCCTATACAGGGTTGCTGTGAGTCAAAACCGACTCAATGGCACTTAAAAATGACAACAAAATGGGCAAAATATTGAACTATGTGGAAAGCATCAAAAGAAGATTCAAGGAATATACAGAGTCACTGTACCAAAAAACATTGATCGATGTTCAACCATTTCAAGAGATAGCATTTGATCAACAGCCATTGATTGGTACTTTAGGAAGAAGTCCAATGTGCACTGAAGGCATTGGCAAAGAACAAGGATCCTGGAACTGATGGAATACAAACTGAAATCTTTCAACAAACTAATGCAGTAATGGAAGCACTCATTCATCTATGCCAAGAAATTTGGAAGACATGTTACCTGACCAACAGATTGGAAGAGATCCTTATTTGTGCCCATTCCAAAGAAAAGTGACCCAACGGAATGCAGAAGTCACCAAATAATATCATCAATATCACATGTAAGTAAAATTTTGCTAAAGATAATTCAAAAATGTCTACAACAGTGCATTGGCAGGGAGCTGCCAGAGTGCAAACTGGATTTAGATGTGGATGTGGAATGAGGAATATAATTGCTGATGTCAGATGGATCATGGCTGAACACATAGAATACCAGAAAGATGTTTGTCTGTATTTTATTGACTTTGTAAAGCTTTCGACTGTGTGGATCATGACAAGCTATGGATAACATTGCAAAGAATGTTATTTAATTGTGCTCATGAGGAACCTGTACATAGGAACACGAGGCAGTCGTTCCAACAGAACAAGGGGACACTGAGTAGTTTAAAATCAGGAAAGATGTGCACTAGAGTTGTATTCTTTCACCATACTTATTCAATCTGTATGCTACATTTATAATCTGAGAAGCTGGATTATGTGAAGAAGAATGTGGCATCAGGAACGGAGGATGACTCACTTACAACCTGAGATGTGCAGGTGATACAACCTTGCTTGCTGAAAGGGAAGAGGTCTTAAAATACCTACTGATGAAGATCAAAGACCACAGCCTTAGGTATGGATTGCACCTCAATGTAAAGAAAGCAAAAATCCTCACAATTGGGCCAATAAAAAATAACTCATGAAAAATGGAGAAAAGATTGAAGTTGTCAAAGACTTCTTTTTGCTTGGATCCACTATCAACACTAACGGAAGCAGCAGTCAAGAAATTAAATAAGCTGTTGCATTAGGCAAATCTGTTGAAGAAGATCTCTTTAAAGTGTTCATGAGCAAAATTGTCAGTTTCAGGAATAAGGTACACCTGATCCAAATCACAGTCTTTTCAATATCCTAATATGTATGTGAAAGTTAGACAACGAATAAGGAAGACCGTAGAAGAATTGATGCATTTGAGTTATGGTGTTGTAGAACATCGAAAGTTCCAATGATTGCCATAAGAATAAACCAATCTGTTTTGGAAGAAGTCCAGCCAGAATATTCCTTACAAGCCAGGATGGTGAGACTTCATCTCTCACACTTCACATATTATCAGGAGCTAGTGTAGTGGTTACACATCGGGCTGCTAACCTCAGGGTCAGCAGTTCGAAACTACCAACTGTTTCGTGGTAGAAAGATGAGGCTTTCTGCTCCCGTAAAGATTTACAGCCTTGGAAACCCTGTACAGGGTCACTATGAGTTGGAATCGACTCCACGGCACATAACCACCCCCACCAACATAAAATATTATGTCCAGAAGAAGGACATCATGCTTCGTAAAGTGGAGGGTCAGTGAAAAAGAGGAAGATCCCCAATATGATAGATTGGCACAGAGGCAACATCAATGGGCTCAAGTTTAACAATGATGGTGAGGATGGCACAGGAAGCGGCACTACTTTGTTCTGTTGTGCATAGGGTTGCTATAAATTGGAACCGACTTGACAGTACTTAACAATAACAGTATGGCTGCATGTAGAGGACAAACTAGGAGGAGAGGGGAGGAAGAACTGGGAGAAACCTGCTAAAATAGTCCCATGAGGAGATGTTGGAGGATGGATCGAAATGAGGACCCCTGGGTGAGATGAAGGATCAGACTCTGGAAATGCTTTAGAGATGGAACTCCTGGGTGTGTTCATTAGAAGGATGAAGGGGTAGGTGGAAGACAAAGCCACCCAGCCCTGTAATCAGGCTGGATTGATTACTGACCATACAGGACACATCCTAGCAGACAGGTCAGCCCAAGTGGAAAGGCCAAGCAAGGACAATGGAGCTAGTGGGGCCAGGGTCCTGCACTGGCCCCAGAGGGCTTCTGGAGGAGAAAGATTCTGAGAGGCACCTGTTCCCAAAGCACCCTTCTGGCCATGTAGCATGGTGATTAAAGAGTTCAGACTGGGTTTCAAGTCTTAGTTCCACCACTGACTTACGGTACACCCTTGGGCAAGTGGCCTAAATTCTTTGGGCCTAGTCAATGCTGCAAGAGTATTATATGATAAAGACTATCAATCATGTTAGGAGTCTCTACCAAATCACCTTTCTGAGATAATCCTCATATCCTGGAGGTGGGGTCAGGTGTAAGGTCCCAGAAAGCGAAAGCGAACACCCACCACCATCCCACATCTAGACCCCTGTCCTAATTGGTGTGGTTTTCCGATCAGGAAGAAGGTTCTATCACAAGGAAGATGGACAAAAAGACTTGGGCTGGCTGCACCATTCCTGTCTTTTTGCCCTCGAGCCTCCTCCATCTTTCTCTGTCTCTAGCGTCTCACATCCTTCTGCGTGGCCATCTGTTCTTCCTCTCCTGTCCCTCTGTACCTCCTTCCTAAAGCTACCTCCAGCTCCTGCATCAATGTGAGCAGCCTTCATCAATGCAAGCCGACTCCCAGAATCTCCTCCCCCGCTCCTAGGTGGGGGTAAAACGACGCATGCGCTGTTGACGCCTTTCCCTCTCCACCCCCATCTCCTATCGGCGTCTGGGCCTCGTCCCCTTCTCTCTGTTTCCTTCTCCTCCCTATCATATCTCCTGGACCCCATTACTCCCGTGGGCTCCCCAGTTCCCATTTTGGTCTTCAGCTCCAGCCGTCAGAGGTAAGACAGAAAAACAGCATCCAGTGGAGAAGGGGAGGGGCGAAGCATCCTGCATCCTGAGATAAACAAACCCGGGGAGGGGGCGGTGGAGACTGAGGGACCTAATGGAAGAAGAAGAATGGGGGGCTGGGCCCACATACCAGGGCTCGCTGAAGGGGAACGGGAGTCCTTTATGGATGCCCAAGATCCAGATAGAGCTGGGGGGCGGAGGCCAACCGGAGCCCTGGGAGCTTGGGAGTGATCAGACCCCGGATCCTGGGGAGTGCCCTTTATAACGGATCTCTACCTCCAGGATTTGCCTGAAGGCCGCCCCTCAGCTCTACACTCGCCCCCCAGGGGCCACTGAAGACCATGACTAAGACAGATCCTGCCCCTATGGTCCCACCACCCCGGGGGGAGGAGGAAGAAGAGGAGGAGGAGGAGACAGTCCCAGAGGCCCCCAGCCCCACCCAGGAGCGTCGACAGAAGCCTGTGGTGCACCCCTCTGCACCAGCCCCGCTCCCCAAGGACTACGGTAACCATCTCCACACCCCACACCCCGGCTGTAGTCTGGCCTGGAGCCTTGGGTGGCTGGAGAGGGTGGGCTGAGCTCTGCTGGTGAGGCTCTGGGAGATAAGGGTGAGCCCCCTCCATTCATTTACCCATTGGAGCATGGAATTGAGATAATTCTAGTCTTCGATTAATGACACACATTTGATCATTTAGTCATTCAACAAACATTTGTGGAAAACCTGCTATGATCCCAACTATGCCAGGAGATGGGAGCACAGCATCGAGAAAGATAGTCCCAGTGTTTGTCCTAAGAAAACTCACAGACTTCAGTCAACACATGAATAATTATAAATATATGTAAATTGTTGTTAAGTACCATCAAGTTGGGTCTGAGGAGCGGCTAGTGGGATTGAACTGATGAATATGGTATTTACAGGATGCTGCAAGAGTGTTTCTTTTTGACATCGTTTTCCTGAGGAGATACATTTGAGAGAGAGCCGGGGGTGCAGTGGGCGTTAACCATGGAAAAGGTTGGGGGAAGAGGGTCTCTGGAGAAGGAACCACAGGGGCAAAGGCCCTGAGGTAGGAAGGTGTGGAGCTGAGAGGGTGGCCTGTTTGGAGAAACAGAAAGTGTCTAATCATGCACCAAGCAGTTATTTTTCAAGTTCTGCTTTGTGAAGAGCTTTGTGTTGGGTGATGGGAACGTAATTGTGAGTGATCCAGGTGTGATCCCTGCTCTCAGGAGAGAAGGAAAAATTAGCAATAAACAGGTGAGCAGATAAACCAGATACATTTGAATGAGTGCTGAGAAAGGAAGAAAAGATGGACGTGTGATTGGGAATGGCTGTCGGGCAGCTACGTGAGACAGAGTGGTCAGGGCAGGTGTTTCTTATTTCTGAGGAGATGGCATTTCAGCTAAGACATGGAGCCTGAGGAGGAATCAGCCGTGGCAGAGCTGGAGAAGGAGAGTCCCAGGCCCAGAGCAGCAAGTGAAAATGCTCTGAGGTTGGATGGAGCTTAGAACAGAAAAAAGATCATGGGGTTGTTGTTTGGGAGTCATCAGTAATGGTGAGAGGTTGTTGATGTTGTTATGTGCCGTGGAGTCGGTTCCGACTCATAGCGACCCTGTACAGGGTTTCCGAGGCGGTAAATCTTTACGAGAGCAGAAAGCCTTATCTTTCTCCCGCAGAACAGCTGCTAGTTTCGAACTGCTGACCGTGAGATTAGCAGCCTGATTCATAACCACTATGCTACTAGAGTTCCTTATGGTGAGAGGTTGGCGAGAATCAAGTCAGGAAGGACCTTAAAGGCCACGGTGAGGACTATGGATGTCTTCTAGCTGTGATGAGGGGACACACTAGGGGATGTGGTTTAAAAACAGAAGAATGGTGGGTCTGAATAGTTAAAAACTCCCTCTGGCTACTGAGTAGAGATGGCTGGGACTCAGCCGGAGTTGGATATGTTCTTGTTGTTGAGTGCCATCGAATTGGTTCTGACTCATGTTGACTCTGTATAGGGTTTCCTAGGAGGGACTGGTGAGCTTGAACTGCCAACCTTGCGGTTCAGACTGACCTTGCAGTCCAGCGCATTAACCCACAGCGTCACATCAGAACTCTGAAGTTGGATATAGGAGAAAATTCTAGAAGACCTTGCAGCTGTGAGGTTCAGAAACTAGGTACCAAGTTCTGAGAGAAGGCACGTGCCAGGGTGGGGCAGGAAGGATGGCATTTGTGGGCATGTAACCCACTCTGGTAGTGTACTGGTTATGAATCGGGCTGTGAACTGCAGGGTCAGCAGTTCGAAACAACCAGCTGCTCCGCAGGAGAAAAAAGAGGCTTTCTGCTCCCGTAAAGATTTACAGCCTTGGAAACCCTGTTCAGGGTCACTATGGGTTGGAACCGACTCTATGGCACTTAACAACAACAACAACAATGCACTACAGATGACTGGAGAGGCTACAACTTGACTTCAGCCTGATAAAAGAATAAGAAAGCTGTTTGGGAGCTTGGAATAGGAAAGTGAAAAATCTTTGGAAACATGTCTGGGTTTGACTAGAATCTGTGTTCCAGTGGGGAGAGGGTTTACTCTGGGACCCCCCCCCCCCAAAGAATCCTAGACCAGGGAGTGTAAAGGAATTTGGAAGTGTGATTCTGGACACAGAGAAGATAAAGATGGTTTCCATGAAGGACTCATACATTTGTTTGTACATTAACTCAGTAGAGACCGAGCACCTAGTGTGTGCCAAATGCTGATCTGGGCACAGGGGATATGATAGTGAATAAGACAGAAAAGAAACCTGGTGTCCACATCTAGTGAGACAGACAAGTGAGAAAGGAAGAGAAGGACGGGGGGCGGGGTGGCAGAAGAGGAAGACAGGAAAGGACTAAGGGGTGTGTGTGTGTGCAGGAATAAATCAGTTATAATAACTAGAGCTATATGCTACGATTGGAGTCCTGATGTGGTGCTGGGGGTTAATGCACTGGACTGCAAAGTGGAACCACAAGGCTGGCGGTTCAAGCTTACCAGCCACTTGTAGAAAAATCCTACACAGGGTTACAATGGGTTGGAATTGACTCCACAGCACTTAACAACAACATATACTATGATTGGGAGTCATGGTGTGATGCTGTAGATAAGCACTGGACTGTTAACTACAAGGTCGGCAGCTCAAACACACCAGCCACACATTGGGAACCCTGTACAAGGTTGCTATGAGTTGGAACCAACTAGATGGCACTTAACAACAACTGTGTGCCATGAATTGAAAATAAGGTAGGAGAGAAGAACAGGGGAGGCCTCATTGAGGAGATGACATTTGAGCCAAGCCTTGCAAAGCCTTGTGAAGATCTGAAGGAAGACTTCCTAGTGCGGGTGAGGAGAGGATGATGGCCCGAGGTGGAGGTCAGTAAATGCAAAGGCCCTGAGGCAGGAATTTGGCTGGCATCTTGGAGGGACAGAGGGGAGTGAGGGAGAGGGCAGGGCAGTGATGGGGTGGATTATGCAGGGCCTTGTGGACCACAGTGAGGACTTAGTACTCTAAGTGTAGTGGTGCTGAGTTAAGGAAGACCATGATAATGACTTAGGTTTTTAAAGGAGGTAATTCCTGGATTCGCTTTCTATGTGGCACTTCCCTGGGCTCTGTGTGATAAAGTGCTTCATTTACTCATTCATTCAACACCCACTGAGTTCCTGACCCATGCAGGATGCTGATGTTACCACAGAGAGCAACATTCATCATTGCTCCTCTACTCCAGCAGTCTCAGGGAGGGAGATGGAAGTTCCTCTGGGTATCACTCTGGCTGGTCACAGGTTGCATCCTGCCATTAGACACAATTTATGTGGAGCGCACATTTTTAAAAGGGAGAGATTTTTCTTAAGAGCCAGGATTTCTGTCATTTTAGTTTTGTCCCTGGAGATTTTGACAAAAACCAGCCAATGTTCTGACTAGGGCAGCAGTGGGCTAGAACAGTAGCATCCCTTAGCATCCCCCTTGAGTTTAAAGACTCGGGGAGTGCTATACTCCTTTCAGGGGATGGGACTTGCTACTATGTAGGAATTACCTGATCTGCCAATTTTTCAAAACACACTGGGTATCCAGATTTTTATGTGAAATCTCCTAATTTTGAAACCTTAGACTGGTCACAGAAAATGCTGGTGGGCTAACTAGGGCCGATACACCACCAATATGAGACCTTGTATCAGAAGGTTTTAAAGGCAAAGACTTCGAGTTCCCTTTTCTTGTGATGGTCAGTTTTTCTGGGTTCCTGGGGTGACTCTGAACTCTCACTACCCCAGCCTTCACCTTCTTCGACCCCAATGACCCGGCGTGCCAGGAGATTCTCTTTGACCCCCAGACCACCATCCCCGAGCTGTTTGCCACTGTACACCAGTGGGTGCCCCAAGTCCAGCACAAGATTGATGTCATCGGGAATGAGGTAAGAGCCCTGGGAATGTTGGGGAGAGTGGGGAAGGGCCCCCTGCCTGTTTGGATAACCCTGTGTCCCCCGATGTGCCCAGATTCTGCGTCGAGGATGCCACGTGAATGACCGTGATGGGTTGACGGATATGACACTGCTGCATTATGCGTGCAAGGCTGGGGCCCATGGTGTCGGTGAGCCCCAAACCCGAGACATCCTGAAAACCCAGGTCCTAAGACTCCTATTCTGAACCCAGAGCCAAAGATCCCAAAGTGCAGCCCTTCAGGCTCAGATCCTCCCCATACCCTGGGCCCATGCTCTGGAGAGGTCCTAAGTTGATCTGTGCCATCATGCAGGGGACCCCGCGGCGGCTGTGCGCCTATCGCAGCAGCTACTGGCACTGGGGGCAGATGTGACCCTGCGCAGCCGCTGGACTAACATGAATGCACTTCACTACGCCGCCTATTTCGATGTACCGGACCTTGTGCGCGTGTTGCTCAAGGGTGCGAGGCCACGAGGTAAGCGGGAGGTGGGAATCCAGTCTGGAAGGGGTGGGACCCACAGAAGGGAGACAAACTGAAGGGAGCTGGAGGGCGCTGAGTATCCAGGCTGGCTATGAAGAAGGTGGGGCTTGGGTAAGGAGGCGGGGCAATGAGTGATGGGCAGAATTGAAGTCAGGCCAGATGCTGTGGTAGCAGGCGATTGAGTGGGAGGAGATTGAGTGGGAGGCTGGAGGCAGATGTACCTTACTGGTCTCCCATCCAAGGGATTGGCAAGACCTGGAGTGGCCAAGAAGTGAGAGGTGGAGCTCTACGATGGGGATAGCTCTGTCAGAGAATGCGAGAGGCATTGGGACCTGTGGGTTAAAAGAAAACTTTGAGAAGCTAGGGGGACAAAGGCTGTGGTCCCCCATGGTGCTCAGCCAGAACCCTTCTCTTGCCCCCTCTCCCAGTGGTGAACTCCACATGCAGTGACTTCAACCACGGTTCAGCCCTGCATATCGCAGCTTCCAACCTGTGCTTGGGTGCCGCCAAGTGTCTACTGGAGCACGGTGCCAACCCAGCGCTTCGGGTACTCCCCCTCCTCCCCTCCCAGTCAGAGAGTCTCTGCAGAGGATGAAGGGACCAGACCATTAGCCTTCCTCAGAGTTCCCATACTGTACAGAAATCATCTGTCAACAAACAAAACATTCTTAGGAAACTTACTTAGCGCTCATTATGCATCAGGTGAAGTCTGTTAGGAACTGGATTTTACAATGGGCAAACTGAGGCAGAGAGCTTAAGGGACCGACCCAGGTTTATCCAGCAAAGAGTATCTTTTCTTTCAATCCCGGTTGAGCCTTCGGCTGAGTAGACAGCATTTAGAGATCATGGGGTAAGCCGAGTTGAGGCCCTTTGTGAATTGGAAGGGTCACCCCCTTTAAGCCCTCAATATGACCCTAACCCTTCTATTATTAAATCTCATTCCTAATACCAAGCATATTGTATCCCAGACATGGATATCTTGTGGGGGAGGGGGATGGCCCAGAGTTTGGACCCTGGTCAACGCTAACTCATTCTCAGCCCTCATTCCTCCACATGGTAACATTCTGGCCTTGGAGTCTGGGGGCTTCTCTGAGGGCATGATCTACATCACTGAGCTGTAGCTTGCATTCCCTGTCCCAGCATCATTTTTTTTTTTTTTTTAACTCCTGTCCCATCCTCAATTCCTTGACACACATCCCTAGCCCAGAGTCTCAGGGGCCAATTTCCTTCCCTGTGGTCTACACCTTAACGACCCATCCCTTCTTATCCGCAGGCTGACCCAGGATAGGGCCTAGTCTCGCCCTGCATAACCCTACACGCCAGGTCTCTGGGGGACAGCCTGTGCTTCTGACTCTCCACCTTCTTCTCTTCCCATGGTACCCAGAACCGGAAGGGACAGGTGCCAGCAGAGGTGGTTCCGGACCCCATGGACATGTCCCTGGACAAGGCAGAGGCAGCGCTGGTGGCCAAGGAACTGCGGACGCTGCTGGAGGAGGCTGTGCCACTATCGTGTGCCCTCCCCAAGGTTACATTGCCCAACTATGACAACGTGCCAGGCAATCTCATGCTCAGCGCACTGGGCCTGCGCCTGGGAGACCGCGTGCTACTTGATGGCCAGAAGGTCAGGGGCTAGGGGCTAGGGTGGGGGAGGGCAGGACTCAGCCCCCTCATCCTTCATAGCTGGGTCCCTGGGCAGAGCACAGACTCCCTGTTGTCGGCCCCCCTCCCAGTTGTCCACACAGCCTGTTATTTCATTCAAGAGTCATTCGCTGAGCATCTCTGTGCTCTCCTTCCCCATGCCGACTTCTCTAGAGGGGGACATCTGATGGTGACCGTGTAGACCAGTCATGATTGTGATGGAGGAAGCACACAAGAAAGTGACCAGAGCACTTCAGTGCACCTGTGGGTCTTACAGGACCTGGGGCTGGTCCACCTTCATTCATAGAGTGCTCAGGACTTTAGGAAAGTATAGGCCAGAATAATGGAGGTGTGGTAGAATGGAACACCCACCCAACTTAAAGATGAAGAGGAGTAAACTAGGGGAAGAAAAGAAGAGGGATTTCAGGTAGATGTTGGGGCCAGGGGGTGGGCAGGTGTAAAGGTCTGGCGGTCCGAGAGATCTTATTCCAACTTTCATTTATTAACTTGGTGTCCCTATGCGACATCAGCCCATCCTTGGTGATAAAGGGCTCTATCTGTCCCAGCCCCGCTCTCATGGTGCTCCATTTGGAATGAAGGAGAGACGGTCCATAAAGGAAACCCATGTTTAACATAATTTCTGGCAGCAGTGAGGACTGTGCAGATGATTAATTGGCCAGATTCCATACACTGTCTCTGGCTAAGGACAGGTGTGATTTTAGTCGGGATGGTCCAGGAATGCCTCTCCAGGAGTGATTTCCCAGGTGAGGTAGGAAGAAGCTCACCCTACAAAGATCCAGGGACAGAGGAAACAGCAGAGAAGGCCCCAAGGTGGGACGTGGCAGTCTGACTGGAGGGGAGTGAAGCAGAAGTTGGGAGAGTTGAAGAGGTTGGCAGGGCTGGATCCAACCAGACCTGCAGGCCACTGAAATGAATTTGGATTTTGCTTCCCAGTCAAGAGCTGTGTCAGTGTTAGACCCATCGAAAACATTTCCCATACATGATATACGCAAATCCGCATGATCATACTGAAAGGAAACTAGGGACTCACTCAGTTTAAGAGCCCAGAAGACTATTAACAGACTTTTGAGAGGTGAAGCCTGTTGTTGAGGACACATAGTTAATCATATAACACAGTGGTTAGGAGTTCAGGCCCAGGGATTTGCTCAGGAAAGCCTCAGCTTTGCCTTTGATCCTGGAGTTCATCCATTCCGCTTCTCTGGATGTCTGTCAGTTTCTCGTTTGTAAAATGGGGGCAATAATAATAGTACCCAACACATGGGGATTGTATGAGATTTAAATGAGTTACCATGTTTGAGTACTTTACATGTGGCAAGTATGAGTGGGAAAATTGATTTTTAATTTAATTTTCTCTCAGTTGAAATGGTCATCTGTAGCTAGTAGCTACTTCCTATACCAGACAGGGGAGATTTATAACCATTTTGTGAAGTGGGTGCTAGTTCTCTTCCCATTTCACATAGGAGAAAATTGAGGAGACAGGTTAAATCAGATAGCCAAAAAATGGTGATGTTTAAGCTGAGTTTTGAATCCAGGACTCCCTCATCTACTCCACCATGCTGACTGTGTGCCAGTGGTCCACTAGGGCCTCTTAAGGCCCCCTAAACCATATTTTCCCTTGTCTCTCCAGACGGGTACACTACGGTTCTGCGGGACCACGGAGTTTGCCAGCGGCCAGTGGGTGGGCGTGGAGCTGGATGAACCTGAGGGCAAGAATGATGGCAGTGTTGGGGGAGTCCGCTACTTCATCTGTCCCCCTAAGCAGGGTCAGTCTCAGCTGGGGCCCAAAAGGAGTGGGTGGGGACAGAGGGGTCCTCTCAGAAGTTCTCTGTTGCTAACCAGGGCTTGGGAGATAGTAGGGGTGCGAGCTGAGACAGTGGAAGCTTGGACCACTCCCAGCCCAGACACTGTCCTCCGCCCCCGCCGCCCCCCAGGTCTCTTTGCGTCTGTGTCCAAGATCTCCAAGGCTGTGGATGCTCTGCCTTCATCTGTCACCTCCACGCCACGGACTCCCCGAATGGACTTCTCCCGTGTCACTGGCAAAGGCCGCAGGGAGCACAAAGGTCAGAGCGGGGAGCCCTAGAGATGGGGAGGGCCAGTCTAGGAGATATTCTGTGGGCACCCCAGCTTCTGTGACTTGATTTCTCCTCAGACCCAGACTCCAATGTTAGCGGAATGGACTTCTGTGATTCAGTTTCTCCTCTGGCCAAATACTAGATCCACTCACTTGTCAGAAGTACCTGGGGGTTCCCTGCTCTGTGACTTAATTTCTCTTCAGGTCCGAAGGCCTGTGGGTTTCCTGGCCCTGGTAACTTGATTTACCTTCAGAGCCAAACCCTCCTTTATTTGTAAAGGGCAATGCCTGGGTTCCTGAATTCGGTGACTCAGTTTCTCCTTTGGGCCTCATCTGCTCAGAGAAAGGATGTGGGGGTTCTTCAGGTTCTGTGACTCAGTTTTCCCATGTCTATAGTTTTCCCGTAAGCCCCATTCCCTAGTTCTGGGGATAGAATTTGCTGGCATCTGGGATTCAGTTTTCTTATATGCCCCGTTCTTGTCTCTCAAAGCACCCCCATTCTGGAGAAGTCGCTGGCATTCATTCTCCTGATGGGAGCCAGGATAAGATTCCCACCTTGGGGTTTTCTGGGAGACAGGGGATCTCAAGGACTGGTGTCTGGAGGCCCCACTCCCACCCCTTGCGTCTTTCACTTCCAGGCAAGAAGAAGTCCCCATCATCCCCTTCTCTGGGCAGCCTGCAGCAGCGAGAGGGGGCCAAGGCTGAGGTCGGAGACCAGGTTCTCGTCGCGGGACAGAAGCAGGGGATTGTGCGCTTTTACGGGAAGACAGACTTTGCCCCAGGTGAGGGCGGGACTCTAGGCTGGGGGCTAGGCAGGGGCACAAGGCATCCTGACACACACTTGCTGCAGGTTACTGGTATGGCATCGAGCTAGAGCAGCCCACAGGCAAACATGATGGCTCAGTCTTCGGTGTCCGGTACTTCACCTGCTCTCCAAGGCATGGGGTCTTTGCACCAGCATCCCGCATTCAAAGGTGAGTCCAGAATCCAGCGCTCAGCCCCCAGCCAGGGGACCACTCAGAGCTCTGACTCCCCATCAGATGGTCTCTGAGGGCAGTGTGGATACCCTCCATACACTCTGGAGCTCTGATCCTAGTCACACTCCACACTCTGTGTGTCTCCTCAGGATTGGTGGATCCACTGACCCTCCTGGGGATAACGTCATAGCCAAAAAAGTGCACCAAGTGACAAGTGAGTTGGGGTCTGTGGTGTGGGGATGGGTGTAGGTCTGGGGTGGGAGGAAGGGTCAGGACTTCTCAGGTACACCTGCTGGTGACAGGTATGTATTGGGGCCATGGTTGGGTGTTGGTATGTACTCCGATTCATAGAACCTTGGATGTGGTTTCCAAGGAGCGGCTGGTGAATTTGAACTGCCAATCTTGTGGTTCAAACTGACCTTGCAGTCCAGTGCTTTATCTCACACCAGGACTCCACTGGGGACACAGGGTCCAGGAAAATGATGACACAGGGACCCAAAGTGAATAGATACTATGGGATCTAGGCTTGGGCAGGCATGGGGGATTGTGGGTCACTGGGTATTGGGAACAATGGGTTAAATATTGATGAAGGGAATATATTGACAAGAAGTTCAGATGGATATTGAGAATGAGGTCCAGGTAGGTATTGGGAACGCATTAATGCCAAGGGGTTCAGGTGAGTACATGGGTTATGCACAAGCAGTTTGGATGAGTACTGAAGACACAAGTGGCTATTAATAATGAGGAGTCCAGGTGGGCATTTGGGACAAGGGGCTGGTATTGTTGAAATGGGGTCTAGGTTGGCACTGGGAGCTTGGGGGTGGGGGTTAAGAAGTGACAGGGGGCCTGGGTAAGTATTAGTAACAGGGATCGTTGCTGCTGTTAAGTGCCATCTAGCTGGTTCTGACTCACAGTGAACCCAAGGCTTTCAATCTTTGCAGAAGCAGAAAGCCTCATCTTTCTCCCATGGAGTGTAGTGGTTGGTGGGCTTAAACCTCGGACCTTGTGGTTCGCAGTCTAGTACTTACTTTATGGAGCCACCATATTCCCAATAACAGGGATAGGAGGGTGTTCATGATACGGAATCTGTGTGCATACTGGGAATGTGGGCTCTCAGCGTAAATGACAAGGATCCAGGTAGAGGTTGTAAACACAGGACCTGTGAGGGACTTGGAACCACAGGATGTGAGTCCATGTGTCTGGTGGGTCCATGTATCTGAACCAGCAGCGGCCTCCATCTATCCTCCCCTCATCTAGACCTGCCCTTCTCTCCTCTCTAGTGACGCAGCCCAAACGTACCTTCACAACAGTCCGTACCCCAAAGGACATCCCATCAGAGAATTCCATTTCCAGGTGTGTGGCCAACCCTTATCCTCCTCTTCGGTGGGATGTTAAGGAAGAGGCATCCACAAGGCCCTGGGCTTTGTGGTCTCAAGAGCTGAACAGAGGGTGGAACTGGAAATAGAGATTAGGGAACTTCCTAAGTAGATACACTTACCCAGAAACACTCTCTACAGAGTGGGGCCCCATACTGAATTTCAGTGACTTCAACTTTTAAGGGGTGGGTAGAGGAAGCAATAGATCTTCTCTCTCCTTCCTCTCTTCCCTTCACAAGCCTGAGCAAGCACAACCAGAGAGGTAAAGACAGAATCCCAATAAAGCTAAATTCCAGGTCCTCAGGCTGATAGATCTAGGGTCCCTGCTCTCGGCCTCAGGTTGTCATCTGGCTCTCCTTTTTAGGTTGCTCTTCTGTTGCTGGTTTCCCTGGATGCTGAGGGCAGAGATGCAGTCTTAGAGGCCCTGCATACTCGACAGATATGGAGTCCCCTCTAGCATCTCCTGAGACAAGGAGTCCCCAAGTCACCCTGAGATAGACATCCCCAGTAACATGCAGAATAGAGACCCCTTTAGACAACCCTCAGTCACTGAGGCCCTATTACTAACAGATTCCCTCCTGATAACCCCCAAATACAGACCCCCAATGTCATCCAGAAAGAGATTCCCTGAGTATAGCACCTTCATAGGCCCCATCCCCATCACAATCGAGCCCCCAATTAACAGATTTCCACATTACCCGAATTGACAGTGGTCCTCCACATAATACAATAGGGCTTTCCTTAGTTACTCACCACTGGATTAGAAACCCTCTCATTAACAAAGACGACCTCCCCAAGTCCCCTTGAAATAAACACAGATCTCACTTCCAGAGGAATGACCTCCATGTCACTATCCCCTTGAGATGCTGTGACCCCACGGTCACCCTGAAGCCTCATATTCCAGCCCCTAATCAGAGACCCATCAACAGCTTCATTGTTGTCTCTCCAGAAGATACCCACATTGGCTAGCCCACTGTTAACCTCAATCTACAGACACCAGACCAAACCTGGAAGTGCTAATTACAGGACCCTCAAGTCTTCCTACTCTCTGTCCCCTCAAGAAACCCCCAGTGCCTTGTATGAAGCCCACCCCATATGGCCCACAGCTCCTGTGCTGGCCAGGCTCCCAGAAAAATCTCTATTTTTAAAGTAATAATTGCCCCTATTTGGGGACCCCAAAATTTGGAGGCCCCATTCTAGGCTTCTGGGGATCCCAAACCCCAGAATACACATGGCCCAAACTTCCTTGTGCTCCCAAGTCCTAGAGCCCCCAAAGACCCCAATATCCTAACTCTTAAGTACCTCAAATCTTTGAATCTCCAAATCCCCAGGGAATCCCAAATTTGAAAATCCAGTCCTAACAACAAAACCCCCAGAAGACCCCATTTATGGAGGTTCTTGTGCCTAGGGTGGAGGCGACCAAAGTCTGGGATAAGCATTCCAACCTCCCAGTGTACCTCAATCCCTATTCATAGGCCCCTGAACAGAATAAGTACCATCCCTGGAAACCGATTCCAATAGGAAGGAGTCTATGGATTTCAAGGCAAATTCCAAGAGCCTCAACCCCAATGGAATCCCAATTCCTAAAGCCTCTGTATCCAATACATGGATGGCCCCCAGCCCTGAGAGGACCCCAAATTCTGGAGCCTCTGTTTCAATCTACCTTCTGGTCACAGGTCCAAGACACCAAACCTGAGTCCCCAAAGGAACCCCTAGTACCTGGGCCAGTCCAACAGCATGAGGGAGAACCTGAAGGCCCCGGGGGTCCTGGGCGGAGCTGGGGCCCTGACCACCAAGGACAGCTCACGACTGCCCCTTCACTGCATGCTTCCAAACTCAGCATGATCCCTGCCCCCTTCAATAAAGACGTTTCTATGGCTTCTCTGTGTCGGGCTGAGTGGGCAGTTAGTGCTTTGCTGAGGGGCCATTGAGAAGACGTGCTTCCTTCAATTTCGCCTCCCTGGGGCTTGGGCACGGGATGGTCTAGACTGAGGGGCGGCCGCCACGCTGCCCATCTAGGCTCTCTCCGTGGCGTGGACACAGTCGCTTCTGGAACTCTTGAGTGGCCCGTGCGCGACGAAGTCTCAGAAGCCAGGAAACGCAGCCTAAGCTTAAACGAAGGAGGGCAGGAAGCATGCTGCGGTCTCGAGAACGCCTATTGGATAGAAAGCGAACACTGCGTCTTTGAGTGTTTCCATTGGTCCTGAGGTTTTTGCGTCAGCAGCGTGGGGCGGAAGTGGCTGGGAAGGGATGTGTGTGTCGGGGAGTGTTGAATTTGGAAATTGGAGGGGGCAGTAGTGAACGGTTAGTGTTGAAGGTGTTCGGGGGAGGAGATGGGGGTCTGAGCGGGCTAAGAGTGGGGGATCTGGGGTGCCTCCATGTGGGAATTCGAAGAGGCTCAGAGCATGAGGTCTTAGAGGACTCCGTGGGGAATCGGGATGGTCCAAGTGTTTCAGGGAGGGACAAGTGTGTGAGCGGTCAGGCTCAGAGATAGAGGTCTAGCGATGCTGGGATGAAGGGGGTGCTAGGGGAAGGGACGTCTGGCGGGGGCGGCCAGAGTGGAAAGATCCGCGGAGGCTGACAGTGGAGGTGTCTGAGGCGGCTTGTGTTGGAGATACAAAGGGACTCTGAATGGGGACTATGAAGAGATTGGAGGCTGGAGGGGAGGTCCATGGGGGGCGTGAGGTCATGTCGGACTCACGATTGCAGGTCTGAGGTTGTTAGAATGAGGTCACAAATTGAAGTGTTTAAAGTGTTCTGGGGCGTAACCCCGGGGGCGGTGTATGTGCAGAGCACTTGAGAATGACTCTCCCCGTGTGAAGGTCGGAGGATGTCCCCTGTGAAGGACCTGAGAGTGTGAACAGAGTGTGGGGGAGTGTTCTGGGTGTTCATTATGTCGGCGGGGAACCTTGGAACCCATTGATGGGTTTTTAAGATCTTGACAATGCAGGTTTTAGAGACGAAGTGAGTTTCTCAAGAGGGCTGAGGTGAGACCCTGTCCCTGGAGGGGCCAAATGTCTGGATCATGGCCTGAGGGTGGGAGACTTGGTGACTTCAGCATGTCCTCCCCCCTACAGGACAGGGTGCATGGAGTTGGTGTCAATGGAGGAGCAGGACGCCAGGGTCCCAGCCCTGGAACCGTTCAGGGTGGAGCAGGTTGTCAGACTGGGGGATGCAGAGGATGAAGGTGGGGACCAGAGGGCAGGGGTGGGAGATGGGGACAGACCAGCTGACCTTTGGCTTTGTGGGCTGGGACTTCCCTCTCTCTTCAAATTCATTCTTGCCCTAGGGTCCAGCCTCCTCCTCCTCAATGGAGCCTGGAGTCCCTAGCCTGTATGGGGATCTCCCAAGCCCTGCTCAGCCGCGATAGGACTCGGGTGTGGGTTGAAGGGCAGCCCCTTCATGGGGGATCTCTCTATCCCAGGCACCACCTGTAATCTACTATGTCCCTGACTTCATCTCCAAGGAAGAGGAAGAGTATTTGCTTCGACAGGTGACCCTAATACCCTCGTTTTCTGTTATTACCCTTCTTCCCAGATTTCTCCTCATCCACCCACCCCAGCCCCTAGATGAGAGTCCTCAAGGCTGCAATAAAGACCTAGCGAATGAGAGCAGAAAAAGAATATGACACAGTACCCATCCATCCTTCACCTTCCCTGTTCCTCTCTCATGACCTGCTGGGACCTGCCAGAAAGAGCTTGTTCAGAAAGGACCTTGAATACAGAGCTCAGACTTCCTTGCTGAAATAGCCCAGTCTACCCCCCCAAATGAAGGCGTTATTGGGATGATAGTCCTCATGCTGGAATAGCCACATGTAACCCCAGGATCTCAGGAACCAGGAAGTTACATGTTCCTTGTGCTGAGATAGCCCAATCCTACTATATTAGGGGAAAGAAGGTTCTAAGCATAAGCTGAGATAGCTCAGTTCAGACCCTTGAGATCTGGGGAATCATAGAATTTACAGTGTTTAGATTTCTGTGCTGAGGTAGTCCAGGAATCAGAAAGTTGCTGAGTAAGCTCTTAAACTGCTTAGATAACCCAACATAGACCCAAAGACTTAGGAATTAGGAACAAGGTTACCAAGTGCAGACCACCTTCCTGAGATAACCCAGTTCATATTCCTAAAATCTGGGGAAAAAAAGAATTAAACAGGGGATAGCCCTTTGCAGCCCTAAATCCTTAGGAATGAGGTTACAGAGCACAGATTTTCTCTGTGCTGGGATAGCCCAGTATAGCTTGAGCCCCAGAAACAAGTTGACTACAGAACACAGACTTGTTTTGTGCTAAGATAGTCCATCCAGGAACTTTGGGTTCTTGGGATTGATGAAGTTTAGCTCCATATAGACTGTATAGTGTATGGCACTGAGAGAGCCTATTTGTAGATCCTTTGGATCTTAGCAGTGGAGGATATTCCAAGAACATATTCTCTGCACTGTATGAGATAGTCCAGTTTGGCATACCTCCTCCCCAAGCAATAGGAACAAGACATTCCAGAATTCAGACTGCTGAGCTGACCCAAGAATCAGCAAATGACAGATTGGTTAGGCAGGCAGAACCCAGTCCAGCCCCATCTGAATCTGAGTAGATTCAGATCCTGATTGTGCAGCCCTGGTTGCTGTCTTCCACCTCAGCAGATCCAGGTAAGCATTGGAGCTAGAAGTCTCTTGAGGGGAGAAGGCAAACAGCAGAATCTTGAGAGCACACTATCCCAGAGGACACTCCTACAGATACTGAGATACCCCGTTTCCATCGTGTTGGCCTAGATGGGAGAATCAGGGAGGGGTGACCCCCAAAAAAGAACTAACCGCTCATCCCACTTCCCAGGTCTCCAATGCTCCAAAGCCAAAGTGGACCCAGCTATCTGGGAGGAAGTTACAGAACTGGGGTAAGTGGCCCTAGTTGGGGACATGGGTGATTTGGGGTATGAGCTGGAGCCTGGGGCTCAGGTCAGATTGTGTCAAGATGTTGGGTCTCCCTAAGAGTTGAAAGGGGCCTGTGGAATCAGGAAGATTCTGATACAGGTCAGTGAAAATCCTAAGCGATGAAAGATGTCCTGATGTTTGAGGGAATCTCAAAGGGTCCAGGGGTCTGGAGAGTTCAAGAAACCTCTAAGGGTTGGGTGGTGGTCAGGGTTCCCTGAGGGGTCAGGGTCCTTCTAACCACTGAGCTATCACTAATGAGGGCTCGAGGTGCCCTCAGGACTGCATGTCCTCCTCCAGGTGGGCTCCCCCATCCCCGGGGGATGATCCCAGAACGGCTGCCCCTTTGGCTTCAGCGTTGCGTGGACAAAGTGTCTGACCTCAGCCTCTTTGGGGGACTCCCAGCCAACCACGTTCTCGTGAACCAGTATCTACCTGGAGAGGGCATCATGGTAATTACACACCCTCGCCTCAGTCTCCATGGTAACTGCATCCCCCTAGGCCTCTGTCCCACTGTGGGGCAGACACCGTGCCTATCCATCCTCCACATTCATCAGTTAGCCACATAGGCCAACTGGGCATTCATCAACCTGACTCCCCAGCTTGGGAGCCCCCCTTCATCCTAGAGGGTGGTGGGGGCATGTGGACTGCAGCTCTGCCAGCCCTGGTGTCCACTCTCCAGCCCCATGAGGATGGACCACTGTACTTCCCAACAATCAGCACCATCAGCCTGGGCTCCCACACTGTGCTGGATCTCTATGAGCCGTGGATGGCAAAGGATGAGGATGCTACAGAGCAGGTGGGTCCTGGGACACTGCCCCCGCCACCTGTGGACACTCCGACACCCCTCATTCCCCTGCTTGACACCCTCCCAGATACCTCCTGTGCCCTTGTGGGATACACCCATATCCTCCCAGACACTGGACCGACCTACTTGCAGAACACCCTGGACATCGTCATATTCACAGGCGCCCCAGTACCCCCACCTGCTGGTTGGCTATCCCTAACACCTACATACCCCTCTGACCCCATACATTTACAGTGCTCCAGCAGCCCAAGGTCCACACAGACCCCATGTGGCGCTCCCTAGTCCCCTGCCGGACACTCACTCTTCTCAGATCCCCCAGTGCCGTTCTCCGGTGGAGTGTTCCAACATGCTCCCCGACACTTTGATTGACTGCCCACTGCTCAGGGAAGCCAAACACCGAATCCTTCTGCCATTCCAATAATGCAATCAGGGGTACAGGCCATCCCAGAGCACCCTGGCATCTAGGCACATGACTTGCTGCTTAGGGACCCCCTGTTCTAGGTACTGTGATGGTCCTCTGGACGAGCTGCAACTTCCTGACCTCTTTCAATGGGTGACAGTTCACAGAAACCCCCTTGGACACACAGACCCTGCCACAGCCTGGATTTGGGGCTATACCTGCTCACCTCCCCCCCCAATCCCCCATTGTACCTGATTTCTTGGGGGCCAATGATCATTGGGTCCCACCTTAGCCCCCAGGGCCCGTTGACCCTTGGATGCTCATCTACAGTCTAGCTCTCGCCTCCTCAGGAGGAACTGCTGACCCCCTCATGCTCCCTTTCTCCAACCCGGCCCAGTACCTACTGAGTTTTACTCTCCAATCCCCATCCCTGGAACCAAGCTTGCCCCTGGTCTAGAAGTGGGCTGACCTCTCCCCTAACCTCACCTCTGCAGCCCAGGCCCCCGCCCAGGCCCACCACCTCACTGCTGCTCGAACCACGCAGCCTGCTGGTGCTCCGGGGCGCTGCCTACACTCGCCTCCTACATGGCATCGCCGCCACCCGTGTAGATGTGCTGGATGCCTCCTCCTTGCCGCCTAACGCAACCGCCTGCCCATTGGCACAGTCTGGAGCTCCCCTAGCCCGTGGCACCCGCGTCTCACTGACCATCCGCCGTGTGCCCCGTGTACTGCGCGCCAGCCTCCTCCTCAGCAAGTGACCTCCTGGACCTGATGGGATTTCTGCACTCCTGCTCCTTGGGGTAGCAGTGACCCTGTGACCTTGGACACCTGGGGCAGTGGGGGTGGGGGGGAGTTACCTTGGTTACTTTCCCAGTAACTTTGTAGGTACCACAGAAAAAGACTCTATTGCAAATAAAGCAAAAATATCTTTTTTTTTTTCTGTTTTAGTTTTAAATTTTGGGGGGTGGGGGCCAGAGGTTTGGGTTCCTTTGGGACACTGCATCAAATGGACAGGTTGTAGGATTATATATATCCAGAACCTTTTAAGAATGGAGTGGGGTGGGTTGGGAAGTTCAGCTGTTGACCTGGGAAGGAAGGAGTTAATTGGCGCTGCTATTACCTGAGCTGGGCGTCAGATTACCTGGGTCCAGGTTCCACTTGGGCGGGGTGGAGTCTAGCTTGCATCTGGACTTCTGACTGTTATCTAGCCTAGGTAAGTTCTGCTGAGGAGGACTTGGGAGACATTTGTGGCTAGGGAGTGGACTCTCACTGGGGGTTCCTTACCTGTGTATCCCCAGGTCCCCAGCTATGGCCCTGTCCTTACCTCCAGACCCTACACCCCTATCAGAGCCCCCTGTCCACCCCCGTGGAGCCCCTATGGAACTGGACGTTGCTGGAGACACCACCTGCTCTGCATCTGCAGAGAGAATCAGGTGAGGGCAGGAGCTTTTGAAACTTGGGTCCCAAGAAAGTAGACAGGGAAGAGCCCTTTGAGGGTACAAAGTGTCTTGGCTTCATCCCCTGGGGATGTGAGAGGTAGCTAGGGATGCAGTGGTGGTAGGGGAGGGGAATGGCAAATGGGAGCATGGAGACTCACCCAGAGACCCGTCCAATGCCCCCTACCTCCTAGGCCAGGGCAGGACTCCTTGGACCCTCTTGAGCATTTCCAGGGTGGGCTGAGAGGTGCTGAGTCTGCCACCAGCGCTCCCAGGTTTCCAACCCCCTTTTCTTATGAGGATACAGCTGGAGGTAGACACTATGAGGTGAGCTCAGGTGACCCAGGCTTTTTGTGCCAGCCCCTACTTCCTCTTTGCCCGCCACGCCTTTGCTCCCTGCACCCCCTACCCCAAATCTAACTTCCACTGGGGATAAGGTGATGATTCTGGAAAATACCGGACATGTATCAGGGAGGGACACTGGGACACTGAAGGGCATAGAGAAATAGCTCTTTATCAACCAGTATAAAAATATTTCAACATTTTTCCAAGTGGGAGAGAAGCATTTCAACATGGGACAGTCCCGTCACTCCCTCTCTCTAAACCACCAGGCCCAACCATGTCCAAGTTTCTGGAAGCCTTGATAACCAAGAGACCTTGAACTAGAGGTCCCCAAGTCTGGAACTGCCCTACCCTGACACAGACCTAGAGAAGGACTCTAATGCAGATAAATTGTCCAGAAGGAAGAAACCTGCAAAATGGTGAGGCAGTAGGGGTCTTGGTTAGCACCCTGACCCAGATTCTGCCCCCTCTATTTCTTAGCACCTCATATCTGGCTGTGAGCAGCAAAGCGGGGAGTATGCTTATTTGACCTGGATCGAGGCCTGGGACCTGGGGTACCAACCGAGTGGGATGGTCCAGCTGCAGGTAGGTGGACGGGAGGCCAAGATGTGGGTAGGTGGGCAGGACCCCAGGGTGGGTACGAGCTCCCTGGAGTGGTAAGTAAGAGCTTGGTACATGTTCTGAGTCTTTGGATAGGAAATGGGGGATGTTACTGGAGATAGCAAGTCTCTGGGCCCCATAGTGTGTGTGTGAGGGAGGAGCGGGGAGTGGTGTCCAACCATGTGTCCCCAGGTCCCGTGGCTGACCTCTGAGCAGCTGGCACTCAGCGGGGTGTTGGTACAGGGGAGTGGACTTCAGATCTGGGCATCCCTGGAGTAGGTCCTCAGCCCACTGGGACAGTGTCTTCTGGTGGTTGTGGCACTTGCAGGCCACCCTGGCAGCCTCCCATCCAGCCCCTGTCCCAACCCCATGACCTCTGTCTTCTGATCCAGGTGTTTGAGGAGACTGACAGACCAGACCAGGACATGGAGGCTGATGGGGACTCAGATGGGCTGGTTGGTCTCACCACCCCTGCAGAACTGGAGTGGGACCCAGCGGGGGATCTTGGGCTGCTGAGCCAAAAAGCAGCGTGGACGCCAGGGACCCCATGTGAGCTATGTGGCCATAGGAGCTCCCAGGTCAGGGGACAAGACCTGGAGGTGAGAACGGGAGCACCCCCCACCAGATACCATAGGGCACCTCTGTGTGCCTCCTAGCAGGGCATCAAGGAGGCCTTGATGTCTCTGTCTCCTGGGATCTTTGTCTGTCTTGGAGGCTCAGTGTTTTTCTTGCTCCTTCCATGTGTCTCTTGTGTTTCCCTGTTTCCCTCTCCCAGCGTGCTCTTCTCTCTCTCTCGGTCCTCAGCTTCATATCCTCTCACTCTCCCCATCACTTACTATAACTACCGTAACCACCTGGCTCTTTTTCAAACATGCTAAATCCACTCTCATCTCCGAGTCCCCAGATGCAGCACCAACTCACCTCCTCATTGCATCCCAGGCTCGACCCACAGGTCACTTCTCCTGGCCACCACACACCACCACTCCTTTGCATCTTTCTATTTTTCTAACAGCGCTGACCACATCTTGACATTATGCATTTATTTCTTGCTTAGTTTTTGGTTTCTCTTGGAATGCAAACTCCGTGGAGGCCAGGATGTTGTCTATTTCCACTTCTACTGTGTCCCTAGCTCCAAAACCAGTACCTGGAATGTAATAGGCCCTCATTAATATTTGTTGAATGAATAAATAGTCTCCTCTCTCAGTTCTTTGGCTCTGTTCCTATCTTTGCTTCTCCCCAGAATCTCATCTCAAGGCCCTATCCAACCTTGTGTCTCTTTGTCACTGGCTCTCTAAGCATCCCAGACTTTTCTTCTCACAGGACATGCACATGCTCATAATGGGCCTTAGCCAAGGGAAACACTTACCAGCTCACCAAAGATATTCTGTGATCCAGAATCCTCAGGTAAGCTAGCTCTCAACCAGGTCTATCTCTCAGAAAAGGGGCAGAAAACTAACCCAAACTGAATTACATACAAAAAAAGTTGTTGTTTTTGTTTTGGGGTGTTTCATTGCTCGTTTGTTTTCATGTAACTGAGAAGTCCAATGACTGCTGAATTCAGGACCTAGTCCTAGTGCGGTGCTGTAGGATCAGCAATGGACTGTGAACCACAAGGTTGGCAGTTCAAACCCATCAGCTGCTCCTTGGAAACCCTAGACCGGGTCGCTGTGAGGGCTCAGTCCCACCCTCTCTGAGCAGCACTTGCCCTAAGGTGGCTTCCCTCTCAGAACACAAGCACTGGCCCAGCAGCTACACACTCTCCACTGGCTTCCCCATCGTAGGGGAAGAAGCCTGCCTCTCACTTCATCAGCAATCCAAGTCCCAGGCTGACTCCAGTTGCCCTGCGTGAGGACTCTGTACTCTGACCCACAGTGGTCAGGTTGGTGGAGTCATCTGATTGGCCAGACCTGGACCACATGTCCAATCATGGGAGGTTGGGGGAAGTGTAGAGTCAGCTGTACCTGAAGTGGGCTGGCTGCCCAGGAAAAAAGGGGATTGAATATAGGGCAAGCACAAACAAAATATGGAGCTGTTCTAAGGACAGAAGGGGTGCTAGGGAAGGAGGACAAAGCCCAGTCCTGTAGGTCTACAATCCAAAGCAATCCACTGCCATTGAGTTGATTCTGACTCAACACAGCGACCCCAGAGGACAGGTTAGAACTGCTCCTTAGGGTTTCTGAAGCTGCAAATCATTACGGAAGCAGAGTGCCTCATCTTTCTCCCACCGAGTGGCTGGTGGGCTTGAACTGCTGACCTTGTAGTTAGCAGTCCAACGCTTAACCCATGAGGGCTCCTTAGGTCTACTGTAGCAAGGGAAAATAGGCACGAAACACCATTTCCACCCACTCATCCGGCTGCCGTCTGCTGTCTACCATTATTAGCACAAGAATATGCAAGCGTCCCTCAGCCCTCAGGATGTGATACAGAAGGTGGATCTTGGGTGAGCTGCCTAGGAGGTGGGCTGGGGCGGTGTGGGGAGGGGGTGTGTGGGGGGTGACAGACAGGGTTCTGGGGCAGTCCACCTGTATCTCTAACTCCGTATTTCCCTTTCCCTTTGCAGAACCCCTGCACAGGAATCCACATGGCCTCTGATCTTCTTCCTCTTCCTCTTTCTGCTGTGTGCCATATTGCTCTTGGCAGGGGGCCTCTGCAGCTTTCACACCCGACTGACCAGGACACCTTACCTGGTGCTCAGTTATGTCAACGGTGCCCCCCCAACCTGAGTACACGACCTGGACATGTGTAATAAATGGTGCAGTCAAATGGTGTGTGAGGATATTGGGTGCTTGAACACTCAGAATCTAGGAGAGAGGGGCCCTGGTGTGTCTGGACAAAGAACAGAGAACTTGTAAATTAGCTTGTCTGGGCTTGGGGTCCCCTAAAACCTGAGACAAGATTCAGGCACAAGTTATTTTCGAGATGATCTAGGAAAATGGGCAGGAGAGTGAGGAAGCGGGGAGCCAGTACTGGCTGAGTGAATGGGCTGGTTGCTGCTCTGGGTACTTGGGGACCATCCCCTGGGGTTCTCGAGGAGCCTTGTAGAACATGCTGGAAGTTGTTCCAGCCACAGGGTGAGGCAGCGGTGGCACTGCTGTAAGAGCTTTCAGCCTTCACTGAGGACTGACTGTAGAGATGCTAACTCGCCTGCGCCCTGACCTGGCCTGCCTCTGAAGACTCCCAGGCAAAGCAGCACGTGTGCTGGCCACAGGAAGCTAGCAGCACGACAGGGGGACAGGGGGAGTTCAGGAGACGTGGACAAGCTGCCAACAGCAAGTGCTCTACTCAGACACAGACATTGTATGTGTCGAGCTTCTGGGCTGGGCCATGATTGGCCCCAAACTCCAGAATCAAACCCTGGACAAGTCTGCCATCGAGTCAATTCCTACTCATAGAGACCCTATCAGACAGAGAACGGCCCCTAGGGTCTTCAAGGCTGTAAATCTTCCCAGGAGCAGACTACAGCTTTCTCCTGCAGAGTGGTTGCTGAGTTCAAACCACCAGCTCTTTGGTCAGCAGCCGAGCTCTTTAACCATTGTCCCACTGGGGCGCCTTCTTACTGCCCTACAACTGTGAAACCCCTCTTCCTCAGCCTAGATGGTCAGGGCTTAGTGCTAGAGTCCAAGGACACTTGGTGGTGCTGTGCATTAGGCTGTTAACCACCAGGTCAGCAGTTCAAACTCACCATCCGACTCGTGGGAGCAAGATGAGGCTCTTTGGTCCCATAAAGACTTCCAGTCTTGGAAAACCTAGGTAGGGTCCCCCTAGGAGCTGGAACCAAGCTGATGGCTGTGAGTCTGGGTTTGGTTTAGTCCTGGAGTCCAGTGCCCAGCCTTGGATCTCTAAGGGCTTAAGGTACTGGCACAAGAGATCGAGCAGGATCTGACTCCAAAGCAGAGGCAGGAGCGCTGAGCTGGATGCCTGTGTATGCTCTGAACACAGATCCGCTCTCCTTTACTTCTCACAAGCACCCAGGATGTGACCTCAGTGAACAGCATGAAACAGAAAGTCTCCTCAGCCTAAGTCCACCCCCACTGTTGGAACACAGCTAGGGTTTGAAGTCAGTGGTGGTGGTGGTGGGTAGAACCTCCATCCAGAGTCTCAGCCTAGTGTTTGGGGAGAGTCAGACTCTAGGACGAGGTCCTGTCTCTGCCTTCTCTCATTGAGTTTATATGTGAATTCCTCATCTTGGCCCCTACAACAAGGACAAGTGTGACATCAAAGACTAGTGTGTTCTTTACAGGGTCAGCACTTAACCCAATGGCCGTCTTTCTGTAAGAGCTGAGGGAGGCTGTTGAGATTTGTGTTTCAGGCTACTTTATAAAGATGAACTAGGCTATGTTTTCTTGTATCACAGCATGCTGGGTCAGAGTCAACTCCAAGGTTGTCTACTTTCTTCTCACATGCTTCTAAGTTCAGAAATGTTCTAAATACCACTAATGACATAAGAGGCTTCTAATAACTTACAGTGAGGGAGAACCCCCGCCCACCGAGATGGACTGACACAGGGGCAGTAGCCATGGACTCAAACAATTGTGAGGACAGTGCAGGACCGGGCAGTTACTGTGTTCTGTTGTGCATAAGCTCACTACGAGTCAGAACTGACTCCATGGCACCCAACAACCACATAGTGAATAGAGAGAACCTCACAAAAGTAGATATGTATTTGAGGCCATATTATAAGTGGTTATACACGGGAATTTTAAAAGCATGAGACTAAACTATTCCTTATATGATTTGACAGCCTCATAGCAACATACAGGTGGTGGTTCAAGCCCACTCTGTGGATCACGGAAGAAAGGCCTGGTGATCTGCTTCTATGAAGATTAGAGCCAAGATTATAGAAAACCCTGTGGAGCAGCTCTAGTCTGTAACACACGTTTACGTGAGTCAGAACTGACCTGACAGCCATGGGCTTGGCTGTGTTTTTCAGTAATAAAGAGGATTGTACAATATTCCATTAGCCTTTTTTTTTTAATTGATTACATGCTGAGTGATACTATTTTGGAAATATTGAATTAAATAGACTATTCATAAAATCATGACAATTATTTTCACGTGTTCAGTGTGCCTACCAGAAAACTGAAGGAGGCCTGATGGCACAGTGGATTGCTAACTACAAAGTCAGTGGTTCAAACCCAAGCGAGAAAGATAAGGCTTCCTGCGCCTGTCAAGATTTGTAGTCTCAGAACAGTTCTACCCTACAGGGTCACTAGCAGTCCAAATCGACACACTGGCAGCGGGAGTGGGTGACTAGAAAAACGTTCAATTACATTGGACAGAACTGCTCTCGAAGTTTGTGTGGCTCATTTCCTCACTATAATCTGCTATAATGACATAATTATAATGGCAGTGTAGTTTGGTGTTTGGTGTTTTTTTTCATTCACTAAGCACCAACGTGGGACTCCTGGTGTGGCGCTGTAGGACCAGCATTGGACTGTAAACCACAAGGTCAGCAGTTCAAATCCTCGGAAAGCCTATACAGGGTTGCTGTAAGTCAGAACCGACTCAACGGCACTTAACTAGCAGCAGCATCAACTGGAGTCCTGGTGGAGCACTGTAGGATAAGCACGGGAATGTTAACCGCAAGGCTGGGGTTCAAACTCACCAGCTGCTCCTCGAACACCCTATCCAGGGTCTCTGTGAGTCAGAACCTACTCTATGGTGGGTTGGCCCCCTGATGCCTTCCTCTGCCACCAGATTTAAACTGTACTCCCCCTTTTCCCCCGTACTTTTCTCTGCAGTATTGCCTCTGATCTACTACATATAGATCACTTAGCTGTTTATTTATTGTCCACATCCCCTCACCTCACTAAAATGTCAGCTCCACAGGGATGAGGATTTCATAGCCTTTTTTGTCCACTACCACATTCCTGCTTCCTTGGCATGGTGGCTGCGGCTCAGACCTCACTGTGATTGTGAGGCTGGTGCAGGACGGGGCAGTGTTTTGTTCTGTTGTGCACAGGGTTGCTATGAGTTGGAATGGATTCAGCAGCACCAAACAACAACAGGGGGCACTATGGATCAGGGCTACAAAACACAGGATCCTAGAGTGTCTTGGACAAGTACGAAAGGATGGGTATTTATTTCCACTTCCTGTGACCAAGATCAGGGGTGGGGAACCAGCCCGAGGGCCGTATAAGACCCGTGAAATTATTTGGTCTGCCTCCTCTGCCAAGGCAACCGCAGTAGCAGCCAACACATTGTATTAAGTGCCATCAAGTCGGTTCCTATGAATAGTGACCCTGTCTGTATAGGATTTCTGAGGAGTGCCTGGGGAGCTTGAACCGCTGACTTTGAGGTTCAAACCAAGCTTGCGGTCCAGCGCCTTAACCCGCAGTGCCACTCCAGGACTCCAGCCATCCTATTAGGGTTGAGTTAATTAATGCTTGACCAAATATAGCAGGTTAATCTTTAAGCTGCTAATTTTGTATGGCCTGCAAATGCTGTTATACATTTTGGCAGAAAAAAAAAGGTGATAAAAATCCTAGCTTACACTTGCGGTTGGACTCACCAGCCGGGTTTGGGAAGATGGAAATGTTAGGTTTTGTGAAACACTGCAAAGGGCCTGAAGGTCCCTCAGGGATGACCTGCCAGGCTCCCTCCACTTGACCTCGCCTTCATTGTTGTTAAGTGCCTTAAGTCAGTTCTGACTCACAGCGACAGGGTTTTTGAAGAGTGACTGCTGAGTTTGAACCGCCGACCTGTGGTCTAGTGCTTATCCCACAGCACCACACCTGACCATTAAGGAGTCAACTGGAATCTCTCTGGGATCAAGCCCAGATGAATCTCTTCCTTGGATGTGCCCAGAACAGAGAACTTTGCTGCTTCAACCAACTGACTAGTCCAGAGGGTCCCAGAGGATAAGAGATGTCTCCCTACACCCATCCTCTCCCAGGTCATTTACAGACATGTGTGAACTGCCTCTTAAAAAACCTCCATCAGTTCTGTCTCTTATTTTGGTGAGTAGCACCTGGGATATTAAAAGCACGTGAGTGGCTGTGTAAGGTGCAGCTATTGATTTCTCCATATGAAGAAGACTGATGGGAATTCAAGATGCTTGGAATCAATTTGTCCAACAGAGTAATGGAACATGTGACCATCAGTCTCCATGGCTCTGAGACCAGAAGAACTAGATGGTGCCTCGCTACCACTACCAACTGCCCTGAAAGGGAACACAGCAGAAGGTCTTGGACACAGTGGCAGAATGTGGGGAATAAAATTCACATTAAAAAAAAAGCTTACTGTTCAGAAAGAAACTGAAGGAAGCTGAAACTATGGCCCTTCACTACCCTTAGGTCTGGAAAGGAACTCACCGGTGGCCCAACTTCCAGCCAAGCAGTAGATAGGTATATAGGGGGAGGGGGGGGCACCACTAGTAAGGTCTGCTCATTATGAATAAGGAAACAGTCAACCATTCAAACTCAAAAGGGCAACATTTACCTAAGGACAAAGTTGAGAAGGGATGGGAAGGTGGGTGGAATGCAAATAGGAAGCACTGGGAGGAAGCTTGGAGGGGTTACAATCACTGAGAGGACACACAGTATGTGATTTGTTGAATGTAAAGCTGATGATCTTGGTTGTAAACCTTCACGCAGTTCACAATGGTAGTGGTGGTGGTGGTTTTGTGCCGTGGAGTTGGTTCCGACCCATAGCGACCCTGTACAAGGTCTCCGAGGCTGTAAATCTTTACGGGAGCAGAAAGCCTCATTTCTCCCTCGTTTCTCCCGCGGAACAGCTGGGAGTTTCCAACTGCTGACCTTGCGGTTCGCAGCCCGATTCGTAACCACTACGCTACCAGAGGTCCTTGTAAGTCACAATAGAACGTAAAAAAAAAACCCCTAAAACTCCATCACTTAATTCACAATAAAAGTTAAAAACATTAAAAAGAAAATCTTCAGACAAAAAAAAAATTCTTAAGACCACTAACAGGAAGTACGAACATCCTTAATTTTTATTCCTTTTGTTCAATAGCCCTGGGTGTGTGTGTGCAGGGACTGTAGAGGGAGATTGCAGGGGACTTGAGATGGTCAGTGGGAGTGAATAACTTCTAACTCCTTCCTACCCGGTCCTGGTTTGTCACAAATAATGAGGGTGTGTGATTCCCAAAGAGGGGTTACGGGATTCTCACCATCCATCCAAGTATCTTCCCAAACTCTTATCAGCAAAAAGTCAAATACGGGAAACAAAAGCGCCACCTTGCGGATCCGGAGGGTGCTTATGTTCTCAGGGATCAAGACGGATGTGTCGGCCTCTCTTTGTCCCTAGGGTGGGATCTCTGCTCCCCAGGCCTTTAGGTAAAGGAGTTCTCAACTTGTCAAAGTCCAGCCAGCGGGCACCCGGGCCCACCCCAAGCCCTCCAGCCGGAAGTTTGGCTGGTCACCTAGCAACCGAATCTCTCGCAGTCCATCACGGGCTCTTTGCCTCATCTCACCCCACCCATGCCGTCGGAAGAGCTCTCGATTCCCTTAAATGGTTGAGTTAGGCTCTTAAGACTTCCAACCTTCTGTTAGGTTCCAGCTCCCGACCGTCAGGTGGAGTGGGCTCTTCTGTCACCGTCCATTAGGCGGTGTCTCCGGTGCCCTGGCGCCTTCGGGCAGCCTCCTTGGATTGTTACTGTCGTCGGGCAGGGTGTCCACATCGCCAGGCTCTCCGGAAGGACGTATGAAGGCGCCCATAGCTTTGGCGTGGCCCGAGCGTAGCAGCTGGAGCTGGCGCCGTCCACGGCGATACAAGTACTCGATGCGCAGCACGTCGGAGCGTGGCAGACTGGCGTGTTGTCGGAACTCGGCGCGCACCCTAGCCTCAGCGCCCGGCTTTCCGCGCCCGGCGCGCAGGAGCTCGCGGTACAGGCTAAGAACTTGTCTCTGCAGCCGGCTAGGCCGGCTCATGGCGGCGGGTGGAGAGTGGTCGCACACCACGAACTCCACAGGAACCTCAGCAGCACAGTTCCGAAAAGCTAGACGGCCCCCAAACGCACACTTCCGCTCTATGCGTCCCTTCTTTCTGAAAGTCTCCGCCTCCCGCCGAGCGCCTTCCGGTGCTGCCTCGCCCGATTGGCTAGTGAAACCGATTGCTCGCAAAGGGGAGGGAATAAGGGGCGGAGCTTCTAGTTCTCTGGCTTAAATCACCGTCTCATAGAAATCGGTGTCCTTGAGGGGACTGTAGTTTGGGGGAATTGGTCCCTTCAGACTCGTGGGAGAAAGAAAGGGGTAGGCACTTGGAATTTAGGACTTAGGTCAGAGGGGCGAGAGGGTCTTAATCTAGTTACTGGGTGCGAGAGGAGTAGGGAGCTGGAGGTTTGGTCCCAAGGACGAGGCAGGGAGAAAGCTGGCACACGCAAGTTTCTGTTATAAGTTATTAAAACCATCTCGGGAAGCTCTAAGCGTTTCTCTCCCAGGGCTGGTCTAAATCCGAGAGGGTAGGGTCACATGAGATCGTGGACCACAACGGCACGATTCGTTTTTCGGTGCGGTAGGGAGATTAGTAGAGAGTGGGCGCTAGCCTGTACGCAGGGCGTTGGGCTGGTGGCGCCCTCTGCTGGCAGGAATCGGCTCTGAGCTCCCAAATCCCTGGGCGGGAACTGAACAGCACCTGCTGTTGAAGCTCCGAGTCCGGTACGCACGGAACCAGCTATCTATGCTGGTGACCCGAAGCCCTCTAGGAAACATCAGATCGTCGGCCGCAACTCCGTTGTAGTTCCGGAAGGCCATCCGGAGGTGTCCTCGCAGCTCCGGGAAGGCTCGCAGGAGCATTGGGGACCCTACGATGACAACACCCCAGCCCTCCGCCAAGAGCACGGCCTCGCCCCTGCATACCTGGGCCGGAAACCGCGTAGAACGCCTGTTCACCTGTGTCGGGGAGGGGGAAAGAGGAAGGCACGTCAGGGCCAGGGTATCGGGGGCGGGTCTGGGAATCACGCAGGCAGGGTTAGGGGAGCCTTAGAAATCGAGAATCCTTTCCCGTGTATCTATCTGAAATACACTCTCAGGTCTCTTCTAGAAGAATAAAGTCTGGGATTTGCTTTTATATTCTTTGTTGTTGTTGTTAGGTGCCATCGCTTTAGCACGAACAGAACAAAAAGGGCGGAAAAGATGAAATAAGGAATGGCAAGATATTTGTAACTGTTTAAGAGTGATGGGTTCACGGGGCTTCATAACACTATTGTCTTGTGTAATGCTTACAAATCTCGATAGTAGCCACTTCAATAAAATGGAGTTCTAAGGAAACAACGTCTCTGGAATTTATTAAATCTCTCTCACCCGTATCTTCACAACCGGATAATTGTTTCATGAGCACTTACTATGTGCCAAGCGCTATTCTAAAGTGTTTTTAAATGGGGAATCCTGACGTGGCACTGTAGGATAAGCACCGGACTGCAAGGTAGGTTTGAACCTCAAGGTCAGCGGTTCAAACTTACCATTCGCTCCTCGGAAACTCTTTACTGGGTCGCTATGAGTAGGAACCTACTCCACGGCACTTAACAATAACAAATAGATTTATTTCAGAATCCCTGGTGGCACTGCGGTTTAAGCAGTCGCCGATTCAAATGCACTCCTTGGGAGAAGGATTAAGCTGTCTGTTGCTGTAAATACAGTCTTGGAAACCCTATGGAGCACTTCTGCTATGTCCTATAGCGTCTTTTAGAGCTGAAACCGACACAACGGCAGTGGGATTGATTTGCTTTGATGTGTTTATTTTACAAAAATGTTTTGTAAAATCATTTTTCATAAAACGTTTACATCATTTACAATTGCTTTATTAAGTATTAAGTAGCTATTGGTGTATTATAAGCATTGCTCTTTACTGTGGAGTTGATTCGGACTCACTCTATACAGTTTCTGAGGCTGTAAATCTTCATGGGAGCAGAAGACCTGGTATTTCTCTTGCAGAGTGACTCGTGGATTTGAACTGCTAACCTGTGGTTAGCAGTCCAACTCATAACCCACTATGCCACCAGGATGCTGTCATGTTAAGTAATTGTTGTATAGGATTTCCAAAGAGCAGTGGGTTTGAACTGCTGACCTGTGATTCCCAGTCCAGTGCTAATCTTACAGCGTCACACCAGGAGTCTATTTTAAGTAATTGTTGTGATGTGCTGTTGAGTGGGTTTCTACTCATAGCGACCTTGTATAGGGTTCCTGAGGCTTTAAATCTTTCTGGAAACAGAAAGCCTCATCTTTCTCTTGTGGAGCTACTGGCAGGCTCCAACTGTGGACCTTGTAATTTGCAGTCCAATGCTTATTATATGGAACCACTGCATTCTCATTTAAAATAATGTTGTTGTTTTGTGCCGTCGAGTCGGTTCCGACCCATAGTGGCCCTGTCTAGGGTTTCTGAGGAGCTTTACCTGCCAACCTTGCAGTTCAAATGGCTTTGCAGTCTGGTGCATTAACCCACAGCGCCACCCCAGCACTCCATTTTAAGTAATAGTGCTATTTAATTCTCACAACACTCTGACAAGATAGTTCTACAGTTGTTATTGTTAAGTGCCATTGAGTTGGTTCCGACCCACAGTGACCCTGTATAGTGTTTCCAAGGCTGTAAATAGTTTTACAGTACTATTTGCCTTTTACAGTTTAGGAAACTGAGGCCCACAGAAGTAATATACCTTGCCCAGGTTCATACTCATGTGTCAGTTTGTTGTACTGTGGTGGCTTGTGTGTGGCTGTGATGCTGGAAGCTAGACCACCGGTGTTTTATAAACCAGCAGAGTGACCTATGGTGGACAGGGTTTCATTGGAGCTTCCAGCCTAAGGCAGACTAGGAAGAGGGAAAGGTAGGCTACTTCTGAATGGTTAGCTACTGAAAACCTTATGAACTGCAGTCTGGGGCATAAACCCACAGCATCATACCAGAACTCCTCAAGGTAGAGTTGACTATGATGATGTGATGGATCAAAGCTTTCAGGACCTTCCTTTGCTGATGGGGCACAACTCTAAATGAGGAGAAACAGCTGCAAACATTCATTAACAATTGGAATGTAGAATTACAAAGTACGAAGCTAGGAAAATTGGAAGTTGTCAAAAATGAAATGGAACACATAAAAATCAATATCCTAGGCATTAGTAGTGAACTGAAATGGACAAGTATTGACCTGTGGCGCTATGCGTTAATGCACTGGATCACAAGGTCGGTTTGAAATGCAAGGTCAGTGGTTCAAACTCAGCAGCTGCTCCTTGGAAACCCTTCACTGGGTCACTATGAGTTGGAAGCAATTCGACAACACTTAACAATAACAACAACAATAACAGCATAATTTATTACACTGGGAATTAAAAATTGAAGAGGAATGGTGTATTCATCATCAAAAAAGAGTATTTTTTAAAAGAAAAGAGCGTTTCAAGATGCATCTTGAAGTACAATGCTGTCTGTGATGGGAAACCATCCATATGCCTGCAAGGAAGACCAATTAACACTCTTATTGTTAAAATTTACATATCACCCTTTAAAGCCAATGATGATGAAATTGAAGATTTCTACCAACTTCTTTAATGAGAAATTGATCAAATTTATAATCAAGATGCATTGATAATTACTGGTGTTTGAAATGCAAAAGGTAGAAAACAAGAAAGATAAGTATTTGGAAAACATGGCTTTGATGCTAGAAATGATGCTGGAGATCGCATGATAGAATTTTGCAGGACCAATTGTTTTATTCATGGCAAATACTTTTTTCCAATAACATAAATGGTGATTATACACATGGTGTCAAGTGTGGCGGCGGTAGTGAGGTTGGCCCAGGATCGGACATTGTTTTGTTCTGCTGTGCATGGGGTCGCTATGAGTCCGACTCGATGGTACCTGACAACAACAACATACACATGGACTTCACCAGATGGAAAATGCAGGAATCAAGTCTACATCTTTGGGAAGAGATGATGAAGTTCAGCAGCAGCTGAAACAAAGCTAGGGGCTGACTGTGGGGCAGATCATCAATTGCTCATATGCAAGTTTAGGCTGAAGCTAAAGAAAATTAAAACAAGTTCATTAGAACAAAAATATGACCTTGAATATATCCCACCTGAATTGAGAGACTTCTTCAAGAACAGACTTGACGCAGATCAGAGAATTTGTGGGATGACATCAAGAATATAATCCATGAAGAAAGCTAAAGGCCACTAAAAAGGAAAGAAAGAAAAGACAAAAGCAGATGTCAGAAGAGACTCTGAAACTTACTCTTGAAATAGTGAAGGTAAAGCAACTGGAAGAAATGATGAAAAGAGCTGAACAGAAAATTTCAAAGGGCAGCTCAAGAATGCAAAGTAAAATGAAATGTTCAAAGACCTGGAGTTATAAAACCAAAAGGGAAGAACACGTTCAGCGTATCTCAAGCTGAAAGAACTGAAGAAAAAAATCAAGCCTTGGGTTGCAATATTGAAGGGCAAAATATTGAATGACACTGAAAACATCAAAAAGAATGGGAGGAATACACAGTCTTTGTACCAAAAAGAATTGGCTGTGGTTCAGTCATTTCAAAGGGTACTATATGATCAAGAACCAATGATATTAAGGGAAGAGGTCCAAGCTGTACTGAAGGAATTGGCAACAAATAAGACTGTAGGGATTGAGGCAATACAAATAGATATGTTTCAACCAACTGATGCAGCCTTGAAGGTGTTCACTCATCTATGCCAACAAATTTGGAAAACAACTACAGTCGATTGGAAGAGATCCATATTTGT